AAAAAAAAAAAAAAAAAAAAAAAAAAAAAAAAAAAATCAACAAAAGTTTGTTTCTTTGAAATGAAACTATGGAGATGTCATCACTGGTCCAAATCCTCATTTCCTGGCTCTAAACATATCTTCATTGTGGCATTCTAGAGTGCAGAGCTATGATATCTGTGTTGCTTTTTTTCTTCTCTACAGCAAGAATTGAATGTCTTAGGGTCATTCACTAGATCCTTGATTTGGTTTTGTTATACATAATTCTTTTTTCATAGTGATATTTATTATAATGAGATTATAACTGTGTATACACACAATATTACTAAAAGCTTCCTCCCACATAAGAAAGATCTAGTTTGTCCAATCAAGGGTGGCTTTCTATCTAATCACATCATCAGTGAGTGACAGCACGACTCTTCCTGAAGTTTCCTTTTCTATTTCAGTTATAGGTTTTATTTTACCAGTATAAGTCACTTCTAAAGGTATAGTTTTCATATTAGGAAATTTCTTGCTTCTCATAGACCATAAATACCAATACCCTACCACCCTATTAAGTTTTATGGATAATAGCTAATGTGTCTGTCACTTAGCCCCTGCTATTACCATGAAACTGTAGTTTTAGTATTGTCTATATTAGTGATATTTTCTTTCTTTTTTTTTCTTTTGAGGCTGGCTGGTATAGAGATTGAACCCTGGACCCCTGGTGTTATCAGCGCTATACTCTAACCAACTGAACTAACCAGCCAGCCTGTATTAGTGATTAGTGATATTTTCATAACAATTTTATTTTTAGCAAATCTCATTTTTTGTGTATGTGTGTGTTTGTTTTTCACTTAAAGGAAAGAACGCTTGGTGTATGTGGGTATCAGTATTGAAAACATCATTCCTCCACAAGTAAGTTTCTGGTTTGTAGTATTTTTAAAGGGGAAGTTACCATAATTGTTCTAAAATTTAACCCACCTTATATAATGTGAGTAGTTTTAAATATATAATATACCTGTTTTATTAAAAACTAATTTAAGACCTTACAGGAATCACCCATAATCCCTAATGACTGAAATTATGTGTATGCACATTTCCCAAAAATGTGCTATCACATCCAAACTAAATTTATAGCTCATCCCTTTGTGGTATGTGTTTCATAGTTTTTACCCTAAATTGGGTAATTTGTTTTTAGCTTTTTTGTGTGCTATTTTTGTAAAATGACTAAAGAATAGTTCAGGGAGATTTGATTTTTAATACCCTGCTTTTGGGGTTATTGGAAACTTTAATTTGTGTTCTTACTCACACTTTGGTTTCTTTGGAGGATTACCATTGTTTTGCATTTATTAGTCTGTTTTATGATTAAGAAGGATATCTCATGAATGACAGTACTTGTAAAATGGGCTTTTTTTAAATAAAGAAATTTTTATTATTTCATAAGCAGTTTCATTCAGGTTTCATAAAATCACAAGCTCAAATAGCCTGTGAAATTATCTTCCTTCAGCATAATACCCCTTTCTTCTAAATCTATTATTTCATTCATTCAGCATATCTATTGAATATCTTCTGTGTATCAAATTTAACTATTTGTTAAAAGATATATCAGTGGAAAAAATCTTCATCATGATTGTTTTAATACAGGTAATTATAAACTCACAGGAGCATAAGAATTTTAATACAGAAGTGTTTCATCCTTTGATGACCAGTATTTGTTTTAATCTGTATAGTTAGCGTTGCCATGTTTATTCACTTTTGGGGGGATCATCTCAAACTTTTTCAGACCTTTCACATGTGCTGCCTATATGATGATTACAGAACTATTAATCCCAAGGAACTTCGTTTTGTTGTAAGTAATAATCTATATACTTACCATATTTTTTAAGGAGCCAGATTTTTCTGAAGATCAAGAAGAAAAGAAAAAAGATTCAAAAAAATCCAAAGCAAACTTGCTTGAAAGGAGGTCAACGAGAACACGGAAATGTATAAGTTACAGGTATGAAATGTATGGAAGGGAAAGAGCATAATGTATAATTAGACAGCATGACCCAGAAGTATATGCTTTTTCCATCACAATGATTATTCGTAGTTTTATATATGTTTCTTATCTTTAATCTTTGGAGTCATAGAATTTTAGAGCAGACAGTGTGATCTTTTCCAAATATAAGTCTGCTTATGTCATATTCTTCAGCCTAACATACTTTTCTCAAATTTCTATAGTTCTTGGTATAAGGATTAGTGTTTTTAATAAGATCCATAAGGCACTGCATGGTTTTATTTCTGTTTACCTTTCCAACTCCATCTCATCCACATTTTCCTTTACTGTCACTGCATTCTCCACATTGTCTTCTTTTAGTCCCTTTGCATATGCTGTTTACTCTGTTTGTAGTTTCCTTCCCATTTTTACCTTGTTAACCTTCTCTGGATCAGTCCCGCCATTATATGCCCTCATAGCAACCAGTTCTTCTTAAGAGCACTTGTAGTTGAATGTGTGCGATTAAAATGATGTGATTAGCGCTTCTCTTCCCCCACTAGACTGTTAGCATAAAGGTAAGGATCATGCCCATTTTATGTGCCCTTGTGCACCCTACACCTGACAGAGTGCTGACAAATAGTAAGTGCTCCATAAGTGCCTAGTGAAAGAATCAATAAATATAATCTGATTTACCTTTTGCCATCAAAGATATCAGAGAGAGACATTTTTCCATGATCATTGTTTGTTAGTAGCTAAGCCTAGACTAAAACCTTATCTTCTGATTGTTTTGCTAGTCTAATGTTCTTTCCACTAAATTTCACTGTCTCACTCAATTAATTATAGTTTAATTATTTCAGGCCACTTTTTGGCTTTTGGCCTCTAAAATCTACTGGGACAACACGAAAACAATTTTTTAACTAGAATAACTGGAGATGAAAAACAAAGTGGATTTTATAAAACTCTGAACTTTGAGTTTGCTTCTTCTTTATAAAATGTTTATCACTGGTCATGGAAGAGTTCTGCATTTGTAATTTGCTGTTGTTTTTATTGTTAAAATTTGGGTAATATCCTTTATATATATATAGGAACAGTGTCCATCTTGATTTTTTTTTTTTGGAAATGTAATTGATTCATCTTGATCTTTTTTATTTTTTTTTTTAAATTTTTATTTTGTCAATATACAATGTAGTTGGTTATTATGGCCCATCACTGAAACCTCCCTCCCACCTCCCCCCCAGGAATGTCCTTTCCGTTTGCTTGTTGTAACAACTTCAAAAGATTGTAGTTGTTATCTCTTCTTCTCCCCCCCCCCCGATTTCTTTTTTGTGTGTGTATGTGAGTGAATTAATTTGTTTTTTTTTTTTTTTTTTTTTTTTTTTTTTTTTTT